AAACTTGGTCAAAGTCTCGTGTATATATATATTTGCTTTTTCTTTTTTTTTTGTGTATATATATTCATACACAGCCAGGATTCCTTGTTTTCTGTGTAGGCTACCATCTGAGGAGACCTTAGCCAAGTTACCCTGTAAGAAATTACATGTACAATAGGAAATACAAAAAATAGTTTGTGGAGGAAGCAGGAACCAGGCTACAATCAGTCACAGTAGAAATGCAGCACATCTACAACAGTTTTACAGGAGCTAAACAGCACCTAGCATGAAGCTGCTACTGGAGCAGATTTTCTGAGACATCAGAGGAATTAATATTTTTTCTTAGTGGTGGAAAATGGCCTGCCTCAAGGACTCTGCAGTAAAATAAAATGCTGATCACTTTGGGCTTCGGCTGAATTTTCTTTGTTTTAACGTGTGGAATATTAATTGATAGAGAAATCTTTGCAGTCTGACACTAACATGTCTGGCAGTAGCTTGAGGTTGATAACAGGGATGTGTGTAACTGAATGGCTCAGTTACTTTCACTAACATCACAGAAATAACAGAAAAGGAGATGCACATTCTTTTGTTTGTATTCGCCATTTGTGTGATGTTGTAAGGTGATAAAAGGGAAGCTCTCACATGTCACCACTGATTACAACAACTCAGAGCTTCTGATGCTCATTAAAGTACCTGGACTTTAAACTTTGGTGGATTTTTTATTAATTTCATGACCGTCCCTGTTCATTTAAAAAAAAAATCATGTGACTTACATCTCCATTAAAAACTAACAATGACAGCCTGATAATGGAGTCCCGTTCCTGGTGGAACTGTGCATCCCAGGCCTGATAAATGAGAGTCCTGTTGGCCTCCACGTTCCGTTTTGCGGTCTGGCAGAACCATCCCCTCAGTTGAAATATATCCCTGGTGTCGTGGCACCAGAGGTCGTCCAAACCCCAGTATGTTTGCGCAGCTACCTGGTTTTGGAGAGGGGGAGACAGTAAACAGGTAAAACGCTACAAATAGAATCTATTGCCACTTAGGAATATAGTCTTGGGGGAGAGCGGCCTGTTCCCGGGCCTGCGTCAGCACTGACCTTTTTACTGTTTGCTGAAGAGATTTGATTTCACCCCTACCTCTCGCACTTTGAATTTTTTCCCCCTCCACTCTAAGGCCACCTGAGAAAGATGAAATAGCTGTTTTGTTGAGGATTGAGAAGTTCAGTCGGGTGCCAGGTGATCTAACGTGACGGACATGAAAATGTTTGCCATTCTCACGCTGGAAGCTTTAGACTACATAAATTAAATTTAAATTATTCATACTATGAAATAATAAAAAAAATCAATTTAGGGGGGATGTAGTCATAGTTGAAAGGTCAAAGGCAGCACAATGCACTAACCAAATGCTTGTTAGAACAAAACTTCCCATCTAATTGTTGTTGCTGTTGATTCTTATAACCTCTTAAATATATAAAATAAATCTCTTAAAGCCCTGTTTGACTATCTATCTATCTATCTATCTATCTATCTATCTATCTATCT